GCCAGGACCAAGCATAAGGCGGACTCTTCCCTGTGGATGTCCTGGGGGAATATGCAGGTTGGGTGGTTGGGAGTTGTTGATTTTGGATTGGCCTGTACCCTGAGGTTGGGCAAAGACTGTGGGAGTGATTTTTGGCATGTATTTATGTGAACTAGATGTGGGCCACATATGTGAAAAAGACAGTATGGAGATCTTCCATTGTGTTCCACATGCTCCCTAGGGGGTTGGGTCCTCAGCTGGCAGGATCTGGCAGTGAACCGCCAGAAGTGTGGACGGTGTGGGGGAAGTGACGTGGCCCCTGGATCAGGGGTGCAGCGCCCAGTGAAGACTGCGCAGGGGAGGTTCCCAGGCTGAGGGACTCCTTCATACCCCACCAGGGCAGCCACAGGGAAGAGTCCGCCTTAGGCTTGGTCCAGGACCATGAGCCAGAGCTTCCTAAGAGCATCCTACCCAAGCCAGAGCTTTCCTGCTCCCTGCTGGTCCTCCCCGCTCCTCAAATGGTAGCTCCCAGGGGTCAGATTTAGCCGTTCTCTAGTGCGGAGGCAGAGAGTGAGAAACATAAGCAGCTGGACACATTTGCTTTTCCCAAGGCGGGCGGGCCCTGCAGCAGCCCTAGCTGGGGGCGGGACGGGCAGGGAGAAGAAGCCTCACCTTTGTATGAAGATTGAAGTGTTGCATTATCTATGGCACCGGGCATTACAACATCCAAATTGAGACTCTGTTTTCAGACTCAAAGTGATAGCAGGGATTTCTGTGGCTTCACTGTAACCATAAGACAAGGGAAGGATTATAACCATGGAACACGTTGCTTAAGTCAGCTGATTGAGAAAACTGCTTTTAGGATTACATGCCCTGAGTCCAGTTTACTCCACCTACAGTTCACAGTAAATGCAGGGTCAGGTCCCTACTTCTAGATCCGTAGCCAGTGTCTCCCTTAGGCTTCAGGCTGTGTCCTCACTGAAGACTCTGGAAACCAGAGTACTGCTTGGAATCTCAGAACAAGCTAATCCCCCCAGCCTCACAGCCTTGTCTTCCGACCACACATATGAGCTCCTGTGTGGAGCTCACTTCTCTCATCTTCCTGCCCTCACGGCGGTGTGTTTGCCCTGCCCCGTCCAGCTTCCCATTGCCCCTCCTTCTCAGCATGCTGCAGGGGCGGGGTAAACCAACATCTCTCTGTTGTCAAGCTCTCCGTCGGCTGACTGTCCACCAACTGTCATAGTGACTAGGTTGTCCTGCAGGCACCTTCTTCCTTGGCAGCTGTTCCCAAAGCGGCTCTTCCCTCTCGATGGCCTCCAGGGTTTGGGTCAGATCCTCCTGCACTTCCTGGCTGCTGAACTGAACTCCATGCAGCTCCTCGAGGTGCACACTCTCCCTCACCTTCAGCTCTCTGAGCGCTGTTTCCTCCAAACCCTGGAAAATCCCCAGCCCCAGTGTACTCCCCATTTATCTCTCTGAATGTCATTATTGACTTGGGGTGCATCGGCTTTAGATGTGAGCCCCTCGAGGGTGGGGACCTTGATGCCTTATTTGTGTTTATGGCTATAGTGACCGGAGCAGGTAGGTGAATGGAGGTGGTGACGGACATTTCAGAAAATCCCTCTTGGGGACAGCTTGGGGGTGGACAAGGAGGCAGCTTGTGCAGTTGTTTAGACAGAGACGGGCTCTGAGCTGAGGGGGTGGAGAGGAGGGTCCTGGCTGCTCTTACTGAACTGGGAGCATGCAGACCTGTGTGGCTTCCCTCCCATTCCTTCCACTTGGGGTCCTGTCCCTACCCCTTCTCCTCACTCAGCCCCCAGGGTCTACAAGTCTCACTGAGTGCCTGCAGCCTGGTGGGACGCAGCCTTGAGTTTGTTCCACTCCCAGAGGGACTGACATTGTTGCCAGGACAGGTCGAGTGGGAGGCCTTTGGCTGAGGAAATGCGGCACGGTGACAAGCCCTGGGGCATAGACTGTCGCCTGCTGAGGGGACTGAGTGGTCTTCAGTCTGGAACCGTCTAGCTGCACCACGGAATCAGAGCATTACATGCAGAAAATACGCCCCTTTTATGCAGCTGCCTGGGTGTTCCTCTGTCTCCTTCCAGCATTCCCCACCCCAAGGAAAGTCCTGGGCAGGTTCTGGGTGCTCTGGCTTGCCTCCACGCTGGGCTCTGCAAGTTCTTCCTGAAAAACCACTCTCAGTCAGTGTTCCTGCTGACAACTTTCCCTCCCAGAACAGTGAGCAGTACAGGGGCTGATGACTACCAGTTTGTGCCAGAGTTATTGGGTGGGTCACATTCTAAATATGGTGTACCTTGTTGTATGAGCCGTCTGAACTGGCTTTACTATTCCCATTTTAGGTGAGGAAGCGAGGCTCATTGGCTGATTTCCAATGTTTGTTTGGGTATTGAATTCGGGCTTGTCTGACTCTGAAAGCTGTGCTGCACCCACCGTCTCTTCCCTCCAGGGGCAGAGGGCATGGAAGGGGCATCCCTCCCGGTGGTGGGTGGACATCAGCTCTGAATTGTCCCTCTCCATGGGAGCTCTGAGCGATACAGGAGCTAGAAAGAAATTATTTAGGCAGACAGTAAGGGCACCAGGGTCCTCGGCGGAATTTCCTTTTTAACAAAAACCAGCCCTTAAATCATCTCTTTTCTAACAACGAGCAGTCCGAAAAATTGAGCTGCAGACACAGATAAACAAGCTGGAAGCTTGCATGTGTGAATGCTGACAGCTGTGCCAATAGACACGGGCTACCTGGAAGCCAGGTATGTTCAACATGGAGGTCCTTCTTCCCTTTTGTCACTCACATGTACAGTAAAGAACCAGGCAACATGGCTGGGGCCATTTAGAGAATCCATCTGCATAAGAAAAGACGAGAATGGAGTGGCCAACTTCTTCAGGCACTCTGCAAATGGCACACCTGATCTGACCAATCCTTTGTGCCCAGTGTCAATCAGACACTGTCTCCTTAAACTCATCTACACAATCTGCATTTCACCACGGAAGCAGCAACCCATTTTCTCCACAACCGCTCTGCACAGAGAGCTCTTCTCTTTCTTTTGTCAATTTAATTCTCACTTTTAACCTCACGCTGGTGTGTCCACGTCCTAGATTTCCGTGGCCATGAGAAAATGAAGCAGACGACTCTGCTTCATGAGCAGGGCCCAGAGATGCCTGGACTGGGGATAGGGGTTCCCACTGGGTCTGGGCCTCAGTTCCAGAAGCTGTGCCAGGCCCTTCCCTGACAGCTGGCCCTCACTCATCCCCCCCTTCCTGCCCACCTCTAGCCCTCATTTCATAAGGCTTAGTGATGCTATTTTTCCACACATGCCTGTGCTCAGCTCGGTTCATCTACAAATGCAATTCTGATTAATCTCAGTCACTCACTGAGCATATTCTGTGCCAGGCCCTGTGTCAGGCTGTCCCACTGCACAATACCAGGGAGCAGCAATCCCCAAGAATACAGTGGCCCTGGTGCCCCTGGCACTGCGGAAGCACTGCTTCTGCTCTCTGCACTGGGTACAAGGGGAGAAGAAACTCATGGAGCGCTTGTGGACCAGGAGAGGCACTCTCCATCCTCATGCTGCCTCCCTTCCCGACCATCAGGGCCAAGGCCTCTGGGTGCTCCCCTGGCAGATGGCATAGTGGTGGTGGGGGGGGTGGAAGGAGACTCTATGTGAACAGCCTAGATGCTCAATTCCAGGAGGAAAGGATTGTTATGTAGGAGAGTAGGTCTGAGGAGGATGATGACAGGAACCCAAGGGTGGAGAAAAGAAAGGAAGGCAGGTGAAGGAGAATGGTACACTCTAGTCACTAAAACTTCATCCCTGCCAGCCCTGGCCAACCCTTACCTGTGCAGCCCTCTGCAGCCTGGTGTGGACAAACCTCCTGGGGCCCCAGCTCTCTGCCCCAGGCTCCTGGGCAGCAGATTCCCAAGCGTGGGACAGCTCCTGCTGACCTCTGACAGCTGCTCTGACAGCACCAGGAGGGCTGTGAAGGTTATGGATGTGCCCTGGCTCCACTCCCAGGCGAGGCAGTCGGAAAGGCCCTGAAATCTCTCTGCAGCCTACGGGGCCAGGCCTCTCAGGAACAGCACCTGGCCTTGCTACCAGATTTGGTCCTGGAACAGAGAGAACTTGCTGTGGGCTCAGAGTGCTCCAGGCCCCCAGGATCAGACATGGAAGGAAGACTCCAGCTCAGGGCTGGGAGCTGTTGTTGCTGCCGGCACCCCAGCTGCTACCTACCTGGACAAACAGGTTTCTCAAGACAGGCGGAGGGTACAGACTTGCAGTTGTAAGGTGAGTAAGTCCTGGGCTCTAATGTGCACATGGTGACTGTGGCTAATAATACAGTACTGTTCATATAAAAATCGCTAAGAGAGTGGATCGTAAGTGTTCTTGCCACACACACAGAATAGTAATTATGTGAAGTGATAGATGTATTAATTAACTTGATTGTGGCAATCATCTCACAATGTATACATATATCAAGTCATCACACCATATACCTTAAACAGATGTAATTTTTGTTTATTCATTATGCCTCAATAAAGCTGAAAAAATAAAAATAAAACAACCCACTCACACACAAAGATCTACGCACAAAGACAGAAGGAAAGAGTAGCAGATACTAGAGACATGGGCGTTGTTCTGAGTTTAGAAAGCAGGTCTTGGTGTTAAGTTCATGCATGGGTGTGTCCAGCAGGTGCACGCTAGCACATGCACACACCACCCCGTAGGTGCACACTAGCACATGCACACACCACCCTGCAGGTGCACACCTGTGCATGCACACACCACCCTGCAGGTGCACACCCGTGCATGCACACACCACCCCGTAGGTGCACACTAGCACATGCACACACCACCCTGCAGGTGCACACCCGTGCATGCACACACCACCCTGCAGGTGCACATTAGCACATGCACACACCACCCTGCAGGTGCACACCCACGCATGCACACACCCGCCTGCAGGTGCACACCCACGCATGCACACACCAGCCACACACACACACACACACATGCACTCTATTGGTAGCTTCTCTGGGAAAACACTCTGAAGTAGTGATGAGTGCACATTGGTGACCCCAGATAAGACTCTGTCATTGTGAATCCCTACTTCCTCAGCTGTGAGGTGACGTCTGCAGGAGTTTCCAACGACCTTGGAACTCTCAAGTGTGGTAGACTAAATTATCCATGAGGGCTCAAGTCCCAGCCTTTAAAAGTCAGGCTGTGAATCTGAGCCTGGCCCGGGCATGGCAGCCACAGGGGTATGAGCTGGGCAACTCACTTTCCCTCCCCAGCCTCAGCTTCTCTGTATGTGAAATGGGGACAGCAAGAATTACGTCACACAGTCATCTTGAGATATGAAGTGAGTGTGTAAAGCACAGACCCCTTGGCCTGGCACTGAAATGCTCAGTCAATAGGGGCTGGTGAGGAAGGAGAGCCTTCATCCTCTTAAGCTTCTAAGACCACTCCCCCAGACCTCTACATTGCATTTCAGTAGGAGAAGTAAAGCCTAGTAGAATGGGTGCCACCCTTAATCGCACCCACTCCTATAGATGGCAGGCTATTCCTCATATGGAGGAATCTTCCTGGAAGGCATTGCTTTTGCTTAAACATGATCAGACCCTCACCTAAGTCACATACCCCATGCCTACTTCATGGATCAAGACCCTTTACATGTAATTTCTGGAATTGTAAGCCTTTAAAAGGGCTAGGATTTTCTATTCGGGGAGCTTGGTAGTTAAGGTATCTTTGCCTGCCGCAGCTCCTGGCTGAATAAATCACGACTTCCCTCCCTGTTCAGTGTTAGAGAGGTCTGTCTGCAGCCACTCCTTCGCTGGTGCTGGCCTTGTTATCATTCGCAGGTGAACGGCTTCTCCTGGCTCCACTCTGATGTTCACCCCGGAACACCAGGTCCAGATACTTGGTCTTGACAAATCCCAGAGCCCTCAGAGGCCTCAAGTGGGGGTGGCTTCATGCCTGAGTCTGCAGCTCACCTTGTCGCATCCTCTACAGAAAGCAGAGACTGCAGCTACCCCTCATCAAGCAGCATCCAGTTCTCACTGGTAGGAATCAAACTGGCCGCAGGTTCCCTAATGCCTCCACAGGAATTGAGCCAAGGAGATTCAGAGGAGCCTGGGATTAGCAATCGGAGGCGGAGCCTGGGATCTGCAGCCACGGCTCCAGCCACCATTCCTGTCCGTCCCGGACATCATGCCTTTTCCTAGATCCTGGGTCATAGGGCTCCCCACAGTTGCCCACGCTTCCCTCATTTCCACACAGTGTGTCATGTGTGTCATGACTTCATCTGTTTCCCTTGCTAGTGGTGGACTCATGGAAGGCAGGGGTTTTATCAGATTCATTTCCGTTCCCAGCATGTGGCAGAAGGCCTGACACACAGTGACGCTTATTGTTTCATCACATAAATGAATGAATGAATATTACATTCATATTCTCCTTTCCCCTGGAAGCTGTTTGTAAAGTATAAAGCTGTAAATCAATGTAAATATTGGCACGAGCAGAACCACATGCATCGGCTGTGATTAATCTGGCTATAACACATGCCCAAGTTACGAGTAGCTTAAACAGGAAAGATTTTTTTGTGTGTATGTAAGTCTGAAGATGGATAGAACAGGAATGGTAGGATAGTTCACAATTTTTAAGGTGCACAGCCCCTTTTATCTGCCTTTTCTACTGTATTCCATTTTGTTGTTAACATGACGGTTCAAATGCTATCCATTGACTCAGGATTCCAGAGTACACTTCCTAGAAATCGCACATAACCTTTCCACTATTATTCTGTTGCTCAGAACTTAGTCATGTGGCGTTAGCTAGCTGTGAGGAAGGATGGCAAACACTGTCATTATTTTGGGTGACCTTATGCCCTGACAAGAATCTGAAATTTAAAAACTTATGAGTGATGCTGCAGGATTCTAGGAGTCCCAGCCTTCGCCCTTTATGGTCTAAATGACACACCATGTTCTCATCTTCACCCACTAGCCCTGTGTGGTAATTAGGGATAAGGAATCCCTTAGAAACTTGGGGGGGTTCAGCCAGTTTCTCAAGGTATCAGTGAGGTGATGGGAGAGCTGAGATGTAACCCCAAGGCTCCCAGCTACAGGGCTATGCTCTTTTCTCTTCACCATCTCATGCCAAGGCTTCTTGGGAATGATGGAGGCTGAGCTCGTTCCTCACAATTCTGTCAATAAGCATTCTGCAACTGCCCGCCATGTGTGCAGTAGCCACTGGGGACTCAGAAATGAACCAGGCCTAATCTCTTTCAAGGACCTCGTGGTCTGACTTAGAAGGTGGCTGACCCTTAAAGAACTGCTTATGCAGTGTGATGAATGATGTGGGAGCTGTGAGTATAGGCGGCTCCCTAGGCTCAGGGGATGGGAAACTAACCCTTCGTGATGTGCAAGATACGGCCTTAGGTTCCTCCCAACTCCAGTATTCTGTCTGAGACAGAAGATGAAGCTGGAGAATTTGGGCTGAGTTCAAGACCTTAAAAGAAGGCCATTCCTGTTTATATTTGATGTGGTAATTATAGCATTGAGGCCCAGAGAGTTGCAGTCTCTTGTCCAAGGTCAGACAGCAAGCAAGTGGCAGGGCAAGATTTAAACACAGGTCTCCCACCTCCAGGCCCATGTGTTTTCCTTCAATAAACTTAGGTATAAGTTATTTGGGTCAGCTTGGACATACACATTAAGTCTCCAAAAGGTTCATAACTTTTTAGTCAGTTATTTCCACTTCCAATGAAAATTATCATGTATTAAGATTTTATTCAGATTGAACACCAGGTCCAGCTACTTGGTCCGGACAAATCTCAGAGCTCTGAGAGGACCCAGGTGGGGCTGGGGGTGGCTTCATATTAAAAATTAAAACAATTTAAATATCCAATTATGAGGGAATTTTGTATGACGTAGTAAACAACTTCGTAGTTCCCAGACCAGCAAGATCAGCATCATTGGGCAAATTTTTAGAAACACACATTCTTGTCCTACCTGATACTTCTTGATTCAGAAACGCTGGGAGTGAGGTTCAGAATTCCTGAAGCCCTCAAGGTAATTGTGATACTTGCTAGAGTTTGAGAATCATTGATGTAATGAAATATTACACAGGCAGTTAGTGTTTTCAAAGAACACTTAACATGAAAAAGTGCTTATAATATTAAGTAAATAAGAGAAAAAAATGGTTTATATTTAGTGGGATAATATGTGAATTCCAGATAATATGATTTCCATTTCTAAGTATGTGAGTACATACCACATATTTGTAAAAATCAAAACCATTCATATATGTGTATATATACATTCTCACATATGTACTAGCAGAAAAAATGCTATTTTCAATATATAAAAGAAGGTAATTTTGAATTATTCCTTCTTTACACCTATGTATATTTCCAAATTGTCTTCTCTGATGATGCATTTTTTATTATCAATACATACCTTGCCTACCAAAAAAGGCTTTTTTCAGAATATGCAGTACAAGAGATGGCCACAGGGGGGAGAAGTGGGGCACATTTTAGCATCTCCCATCCCACCTGCCGTCTGGGCCATGACGTAGACCTCTAGGTACCTGTCATTTCTCCACTCCCTCCTACCCCATCTCATTCTCCATGTGAGGCTAACTTCCATATACAACGTTTGTAGATAGCCAAGGAATTCATTGGTCTTTTCACTTTGCAGTAAGATGTTGAACATTCTCTGAGACATTCTTGGCAACTAGGAGCTAGTGTATGAGAAAAATCTCTGACCCTATCTGACTTTTTCTTTACTCTCTACCTTGTTCTGAATTTTCTCAAGCTCTCTGTGTAACTCTCCCAATCCTTCTCTTTCTCTGAAAATCCACAAGCATCTACATCTCTGAAACTTTTGTAAACATTCTCGGGAACACTGTGACAATGTCTCTGAAATATTATGAAACTGCCTGAAATGCTATGGCTTTCTCTTTAAATTCTCTCTGACTCTCAGGACTTTTGCTCCATCTGTCCATTGCAGCCTGTTATCATACAGCAAATGGGTGTCAGACAAAGGAAGGTGCTATTTGTGGCAAACACTTCCTTCCCACTCACTAGCTCATCCCTCTTAGAATTTTTGCTTACCTCCTAGTTCTGGGTTACACCTTTCTTGGTTCAGAAGAAGGTGGAGATCAAGTCCCTTTCTTCCAGTGAAGTTACAGCTAGATCTGGGAACAGAGAAAAGCTAGGCATTTGGGGAGTCAGATCTAGGTTTGATTTTCTACTCCTTGTCTTACTATTTGTATGATCTTGAGCAAATTGCTTTCCTCCGAGTATCTCTTTCCTAATCCAGTGAAAATACTGATGCGGACTGTGTGACTTTTGTGAGGATTGAAGGTGATAGTTCACATGCCACTGCTACATGCTTATGGTCAGTAACAGATGAATCAAGTGTAAAATGCCTGGGTAAACACTAACAACCTTCGTGACTTTCAGTGAGACAGGAGTTCAGAACATAGAGAGATCTGTGTGTGTTTCATAAGCCCTTGCCACAAAGAGGCAGTTACTCAGAAAGTCCATTACATTTAGGAAGTTGCTATGCCTAAGCCCATGACATTCTCTCCTCTGTGTCTTTTTGTGGGATAGTGGATCTGTAAGAATTATCTGCACATTGTATGTGTAATATCAAGAGTTGGGCACGAGGTGGCGCAATGGGACAGTTTCAGCATCTTTCAGGGGCGTTCCCATTCAGGGATGAGAGTGAAGCATTAGTGGTAGTTCCACATACTATTTTATCTGTGACCCCATCTGCCTGCAGTGTTAGCATCAGATGGGGATTGGCTGGAAAGCTGGAAGGCTGAGCTATTGTTGAACAGTACATCACTGCATTTAGAATTTAGACCAGTGTGGTTTAATAGAATTTTCCATGATGATGGAAATGTTCTATACCTGTGCTATCTAAAGTCTTAGTCATTAACTACATGTGGCTACACTTGAAATGTAGCCCACGTGACCAAGGAACACAATTTTAAATTTAATTTCCTTTAAATTTTAAATATAAATAACCACACACGTAATGGCTTCCGGATTGTATAACAGAGAATTCTAGATAATGTCAGTTTTTCTTGTAATAAATGCTCTCCATCCCAGCCCCTTTTTGAGGCTGGGCTTCTAAAGGTTAATTAGATTGCCTCCCAAGTTTCTCACAGTGGAGGAGGGGAGAAAGTGCAGGAGGAAGCAAAAGTGAATTTATAAACACTCTAATAAAAGTGAGCCTAATTATAGCAAGAGATCAAAATAAATAATAATGATAGTTGCTTTTAGTTTTGAGTGCTAACCAGGTACAAAGCACTTTAAAATGTGATTTAATCATCAAGGATGAGATTTTGCAGCTCTAGAAACCAAGGCTCAGAGTGGCCAAATGGTTGGTTATTTGTGGCAGAGAATTTAGATGCCCATCTAGGTGAGCCTCTGACTCTCAAACCTTCCTACGATGCTGATGGGAGGTTTAAAGGAGGAATACATCACATCGAGGAGGACTGCTATCAAAGGCTTTCTAAAGAAGGTTGGGTTTGAGCTGGGCAGAAAGAATAAGTAGGGTTTTGTTAAAAAAGGAGAGAAGATAGGGTCTAAGCAGAGGAAAGAGTATCAGCTAATGAGTAAGAAGTGCTGGGAACATGTTCAACACATTAACATTGTCATTAGCCAAAATTTGAAAAGCAACACATCTCTCCTTTGTAACAGGCTTGGCTGAGTCCAAGAAGAGGCGATTGGTCCCTGACTAGAGGAAAGCTGTATTTGTAGGAAAATAGAGAGGGCCTGGTCCACAGAAGAATATCGCTGAAACCACTAATCTGGGAGAAAGATTATGGTGCCCCCATAGGAACTGGAGGGCTACAGAGCCCGGAAAGGAAGGGGAGGAGGGGCAGAAGGGAATGGGCTCCCTTTCGGATGGGTAAATAATTGGAGTGTAAACATACACCCACGTATGCTTGAATGTCAAGGGAGACTCACAGCTTATTGAAGGATCCACTGTGACTACCTGGAGGGAGAACCAGGAAGTGATGGAAGCCCGTGGGTTTCACTGAGACTAAGTCATGTGGGGCATGCCTTACTGCTTGGCCTATATTTTTAAGCTTAATTGATGAACAGATCTAAGAGAATGTATTGACCAAACAATCAATTAAGTAATTCTTAGGCACCAATTCTGTGATGGGCCCAGCAGACAAAGCTTTTCATATTGGTGTTTCAAAAAGACATTGTCCAAAATCTCTTGAGGGAAATATGGAGAAATTTATGTTTGACGACTCTGCAGCAGCTTGTGCTACCATGGCAATCTGGAGGCAGGCCTCCAGGGACTTACCCGTTTCGCTCTATTCTTGGTCTTGTTCCTTCGTGACAAATGTATTGAGTGATTTGGATAAAGAATTTGCCTAAAGGGCTATCAGTTTTGGTAAAGAGAACTAATCCATTATTCAGAGAATCAAAGGGCAAGCAGTTATTATCTGCTATAATTGATTTGATTCTATCAAAATAATATTTAATTATAAAAATTACAAAGTTTAGCATTTAGCCTCAGGAAAACCAATTTTAAAAGAGAAATAATGTGATTTGGTAGTGTCAGCCCGCTAGCCATGGTTTCTAGCTGGAGCTGTCAGGATGCTGTGGTGAATCAACCACTGCCTCACAGGTCTTTCATTCCTGTTTCAAAATGTCTTTAGAGACAGATGGAATTACTTTTCCACTTGCTAGTTGAATGAGGACTGCAAACACAACAGTGACTTTTAGTGTGGAGAGTGGAGGCCTGGCTGTGAATAAACTCAGTCACATCCTGGCTTTTCCGCTGGAAAAAGAGAATTTTTGAGTTAAAAACGTTAAAACTGAAGGGTGAGGTTGCTGTGTGTCATTTATCCGCCCCGCCCCTCCCCCGCAATGCAGATCTCTGCTTAGAAAGCCAGGGTCTATTTATCAGGCTTTAGCCCTGAGGGAATAAGCAGAAAGGAGAGAAGGGAATGTCTCCAAAGTAGCACTGGACAGGGGCAAGTGTGGGCAGAAGGAAAGACAGCTGCTTGAGAGCGGGATCGGGTTTGCCTTACTGTCTCCCCTGCTGCAGGTGCCTGTGGGGCATGCCAGGTGGAGTGTCTGTCAACCGACTTAGGTGATGGCAGATCCACTGACCCAGCAGCCTTTCCTCTTTTCTCAAACCCTTTCTCCACACTCAAGCCAAAGAGACCTTTCCAAATGAGTGCTTGTATGTCCTTCCCAAATCTTACACTCTGCTTAAATCCTTTCAGTGCTTTTCCAGAACTGTCAGACTAAAGCTAAAATTCTTGAACATAGTCTACTAGTCCCTGCCCAGTCTGTCTCGCAGCCTCATTTTGCCTCAAATCGCCCTCTCTTTTCTATGTTTCACCTGCCATGGTCTTAGATTTCCTGGCAATGCCCTGTGCCCCTTCCCACTGCAGGACCTCTGCACATGCTCTTGCTTTCGGCCAGTGAGTTCTCGTGGACCCACCTCCTTACTGTGAGCTCTCAAAGATTCATGTTCATCCCACAAGCTCCCGAGAGCAGGGATAGGCCCTTGTTTGCTCATTATTATCCCTAGCACAGTGCCAGACACGTAACCAATACCCAATCGAAACTGCCTTTGCAAAAACTGTAACAGTGAGAAAATGGTGACAGAGAAAGAGATCTGATCTAACCAACCCCCATGTTACCCTTAACCTTGGCCATTCCTGGGCTTGAGCCAAGGTAACTTTGGGAGAAATTTAGCATATAGTTTAAATGATAATAGCTCTTCCCCAAACGAAACCACCTTTGTAAACTAAGACCATTAGGTTAGGAGGCTGAATTCTGCTAAGCGGTAGGTATGAATGGTGACTAGCCGTTACTCTGGAAATCAGCGTCCTCAATTACTCCTGCAGATGACATCATTATTGTAGAACCTAAATTTGGCCTTTTGAGTCATTTTTTCAGGATTTTTCATTTCTGATGACTAGATGGTCCTGCCTGGTCCCGCAACTCTTAACTTGTCCTGTGGCCCTCACCCAGAAGCAAACTCAGTGCACTGGGGCCGTGCTCCACACTCCTATGATTGCACCCATTCCCCTGCCTCTCCTGTCCTTGCAAAACCCTAGCCTCTGAATTTCTGGGAACATGGGTTTAACTAATAAAACTCCGGTCTCCCATTCAGCTGGCTCTGTGTGAATTAAACTCTTTTTCTATTGTAATTCCCCTATCTTGATAAACTGGTTTATCTGGGCAGTAGGTAAGGAGAAACTGTTGGGTGGTTATATAATTATTGAAAGAATGACTGAATTTTCTTTCTAGAGTGTAAGACCTTCATGCTGTCCATCAGATTTTGCTTTTAGGAAATGAGAAAAAAAAATAGCTCAGAGCAGTATGAGTCATGTGAAGTATACAAGATTTATCAGGCCCAGACAAAGGCCCAGAGAAACATGAGTTTAGGACGTCAGTCACCCCCACCTCCACCCTGCACCTATGTCTGTTTAAAGATATTGCCGGACTAGCTGCCTCACTCATTATCTTCATGTTCCTGGAATGTGTGATTCAAAGAACAATGTATAGCCAATCAATAGTTTATGTTATTTTAAGAACATTTTGGTAAACAACATAGAAACTGCCTCATTTTTTTCCTTTAAAACCCCACTTGCGGCCAGGTGCAGTGGCTCATGCATATAATCCCAGCACTTCGGGAAGCCAAGGCAGGTGCATTGCTTGAGCACAGATGTTTGAGACCAACCTAAGCAACATGGTAAGACCCTGTCTCTATCAAAAAGTTTAAAATTAGCCAGATGTGGTGGTGCTTGCCTGTTGTCCCAGCTACTTGGGAGGCTGAGTTGGGAGGATTACTTGAGCCTGGGAGGTTGAGGCTGCAGTGAGCCGTGATTGTGCCACTGCACTCCAGACTGGGTGACAGAGCAAGACCTTGTCTCAAAAAACAAAACAAAAGACCAACTTGAGGCCGGGTGTGGTTGCTCACGTCTGTAATCCCAGAACTTTGGGAGGTTGAGGCATGTGGATCACTTGAGGTCAGGAGTTTAAGATCAGCCTGGCCAACATAATGAAACCCAAACTGTACTAAAAAAAAAAAAAGAAATTACAAAATTTAGCTGCAAGTGGTGGCAGGTGCCTGTAATCCCAGCTACGAGGAAGGCTGAGGCAGGTGAATTGCTTGAACCTGGGAGATGGAAGTTGCAATGAGCTGAGATTCACCACTACACTCCAGCCTGGGGGACAGAGTGAGATTCCATCTCAAAAGCAAAACAAAACAAACAAAAAAAACTTGTAACTGCTGCCAATCAAAGTGCATATTCAGGGCAACTTGAATCTATGACCCTGGGTTTCAGTCCTCAAATGTGGGCCCAGGAAACTCTCTACTTATATTAATTTTGCCTCAGTCTTTTTTGTCCATTTATGTAACAAAAAGTTTGTAGTATCCAGTTTTCATTGCTCTTTTCTGTTAACTTCCAGATGGGGAATTGAGGCAAATTCTGGGCATTAGAGTCAGAATTAGGTGGGGCTGAATCAGGGGAATCTGGGGTCCTGAGAGGAGAGATCCGAAACCCTCTAGAGCGTGTGGGGAGCTGGGTGTGCGTTCAGGCCAGTTGCTTCTCTCTGTGCCTCAATGTTCCAGGTACCCTTGCAGGGGCTGAGATCCTGGGGACTCCTGGAGCCTGGCTGCATGGCCTGGCCACCCTGATGCCCTTGTGTTCTCCATGACAGGCCAGCAAGGCCGAGGAGAATGGCTCTGACAGCTTCGTGCATTCCATGGACCCACAGCTGGAGTGGCAAATGGAGACCACCCAGAACCCGGTGGACTCCTATATGGCCATTGTCAACAAGATGGTGCGGGACCTCATGGTTGGTCTCAGGCCTGAGACCACCATGCACCTCAAGATCAACAACATGCACGCACCGCCTCATGGGGGCAGGGGGCTCCTGTGGCATTGGGGACGCATGTGGCCATGTTGGCCTGCGGGAGATGCCAACCAGCCCTATGGGACCAGGTCCAGGGAGGGAGGCATGGTCTAGACCAGAGCTGTCCCATAGCATGGGACTGTGCACAGTGGCCATGCCTGTAATCCCAGCACTATGGGAGGCCAAGGCAGGAGGATCGCTTGAGCCCAGGAGTTTGAGACTAGCTTGGGCAGCATAGTGAGATTTGGTGTCTACACAAAAATTTTAAAAAATAGCTGGGCTTGGTGGTGGCACATTCCTGTAGTCCTAGCTACTTGACAGGCTGACTTTGGAGGATCGCTTTGAGCCCAGGAGGCTGAGGCTGCAATGAGCAGTGATCTCGCCCACTGTACTCCAGTCTGGAGACAGAGCCAGATCCTGTCTCCACAAAAAACTTTAAAACACTGAGTAGCCAGGTGTCCTGGTGGCATGACAGGTCCTAGGTCGCCTGCCAGATCTATAACCTTGGTCAGGTGACTTTTCCTATGGGCCCCACTGTCCCCATCTGAGTGAGAAAAGGCAGTGAGAGGCAGATCTTTGAGTCTAAGCGGTGGAGAAGCCATGTCTGAAAGCCATACCCAGAGCTCCAAGTCCAGTACACAGTCCCAGCAGGTCCCAGTGGGGCGGCCAGGCATCAGGTCCCAACCTCCTTCCCTCTTTGCCCACTCTCAGACCAAGGATTTCATCTTCTTGGAGCTGCTGGCCAACCTGTACTTGCCTGAGGGCCAGAAAAGCTGATGGAGGAGCCGGCAGGGCAGGCACAGCGGCGATTTGAGATGCGGCACGTGCACCACGTGCTGAGGGAGCCGCTCGGCCTCATCAGCCACATCAACACCACCACCGTCAGCACGCCCACGGGGGCCCAGGGACGACTCCTGGCTGCAGGTGCAGAACGTCCCAGCTGGAGGCAGGTACCAGGGCCGGCCCCCACGGCCTTAAAGCCCCCAGCCTTGATGGCTGAGCCTGGGTGGGGGCTCTTGGAACAGGCTCCGTGCCCAAGCTGGCAGACATGGGTGCTCTCTGGAGCTGTCAGAGAGGGCAGAGAGCTCATGGTGTATGGTTAGGGGCTGGCAGCTTGAGGGGTTTGTGTGTGTGCGTGGCTGGACTCTGAGGCAGCCAGAGGCCGAGGAACGTTATCCTGGGCCTGCCATGCCTGTCATGCAGGGTGAGTCACGCCGCAGGCCAGGGCATCCAGTTCCCAGCCTGGGAGTGCCAAGAGCCAAATGCACTGCAGAGGAGGGGTGATAGTCAGGGTCTCACCTCCTCTGTTGGCAATCCAGTGGTGATCTGGGGCAAAAGCGTGAGAGTCCCATACACACGGTCATCCCACCACACGCCTCACAGGCCAGGCAGGACACCCAGCACCCCTCCTCCCTCCCAGGTACTATCATAGCTGCTAGTGTGTGATTGAAGACAGGGTCTCTGCCCCCACTGAAGCACTACCACCAGCCAGCGGGCTCACCGCCTTGGCTATGCTATTCAGCCAAGGGACCACAGTGCCTGCTGATCTACCTGAGCTCCGCCCAGTAAGTCCGGCTACCCTCAATCTACCTAACCCCCCACATCCCCACCCACCGCCACGGACTCTACCTCTTCTGCTTTTCCCTGAAGGAAGGGCCCAGCCTCACCTATGAGACCTGCAGCCCCCCAAACCGCTGAGGCTCCCCACCTACACTTATAAGTCTGTGGCTAGTGGCATCCGGCTGCCTGCCCTCCCTGTCTCCCCCAGGGTCCCTTCAGAGGGTCCTGGGCTTTCTGACCACCCAGAGGGGCCTCAGGCGCTCCCTCCAGCCATCAGCCCTTTTAGCTTCACCCTCCTGGTTCAGGCAGTGTTCCTTCTCTATCAGGCCTGGTGGCTGTTGTGTGGGGCTCCCCAAGGCGAGGGGTGGCCCTGAGCCAGTGGGTTGGAAGACAGGGTGACCAGGGAAGAGGGCAGCCCGAGGGCGGTGAGCATGGGTCTGAACTGTGGGTGCACTGCCTCTGTGCCGTGGGAGAGGCCAGCGTGTTTTGGGTGGGGAGGGCCGCCACAGCCTCCGGGCACTAATTGTGAAGCTCCGGCTCCTTCCTCCCCTTTCCTTCCAGCCCCTTTTCCAGGAACCTTGCCACACCTGCACCTGCGCCCTCCCCTGCCCAGCCCTCCCCCAGCTGCTGCAGCTCCCCCTGCTCTGTGCTTGCTTCACCAGCTCTCTCCTTGCTTTTCTCTCTCCCGTTTTCTCTCTGTTCTCTCTGCAACTGCCAGCCGATTGGGTCAGGGAAGTCCATCCCATCCAGAGCCCCAGGCCCCCCTTCAACCTCTACACAGATCCCCCCTCCTGTCAGAGACCTCCCTTTCCAACCCTGCCTGGGCGGCTGTTCTGAGACTTCCCCCAGCCCCAAAGCCACCCCCCTTCATCTGCGACTTAGTCTGTTGTAGCGGTGAGCTGACACATCCAGGTGTGACTGTCCCCTTCTGTGGCATGCCTCTGCCCTGTTCTTGCCTCTGGCACTGGAAATCAGTCACTGTGCTGTCCCTGTGGAGTCTCGTGGCCCAACAAGAGAAAGTTGTCCCCTGACACTACCCTCCAAAGTGCATGACCTGCAGTGAGCCTCCCTGTCACCCAGGCCCCGCCATCCCTCCCACCGCTGCCAAGCATGGGGCTGCTGTGCAGGCAGCCCAGTGGCCTGACAGTTTCTACCAGTCCTGCTGTCCCACGGCTGAGAGTCAAACCCATTTCTGGATGACGGGGTATATGTCCTATGTGGACTATGTTCTCTGTGGAGCTCAGGGGAGGGGAAAGACCAAGCCATTTCTGCGATGCTGTCGGGCGCGGTAAAAAGGCCATACCCTTTCAAAGGGACGCTTTTCCTGGAAAGCCCCTGGAGCTTAGCTGGTCTTATCCTGTGAAGCCGGCTCTGGCCACTAGGGGGCAGGAGGGCCATGAACTCAGCCTGGAGGGAGCCTGCGGGGCAGCCGGCCCTCTGGAGGGACAGACAGAACAGGCCACCAGGTGCAGACAGGAGAGGGAGGCAGGGGGATGGAAGAAAGACACCTGGGGTGGATGGAAGGCAGCGCCCTTGGGTGCTGGTACCTGCCTTCCCGGCCACCGCTAGATCAGGCTTCTGAGCCTGCTGGCTGTCAGGGCCGGACGTGCCATGGCAGTCCACGGGAAATCCCCAGGTGTCACCAGGCAGCACACAGGTAACAGGCCTGGAAGATCCCCAACAACCCAGCTGGACATCCTCAGACACTCTGGGGCTCCTCGTTCAGTGGCACAAACTCCAGGACCAGTGAGGGAAACAGGAATGCACCAGGCCGACCAGTGTGACTAAATCCATTTATTCCAAAATAAAAAGCAAAATAAACAGGAGTTGCTTTACCAGGGAGCCACGACCCCAACCCTGCCTCCTTCCTCTGTCCTCTGCCATCAATAAACAAATTTCCCAGCTGCAAATAATTATTAAAACCTCCTCCCCATGGGCCAGTTCCAACCTCTGCTAGGTACAAAACAGGGGGCGCCTCTACCCCCCGGAATATACAACATGTTACACAGATACAATATGTACACTGGGGAATGGGGGTCACCCCAGCAACCCGTGCCCTCACCTGGTCCACACTTAGCGCCACTGTCCTGCCTCAGCTGCCTCTCTGAATAAGAAGATGGGAGCACCCTGAGGGAAAAGTTGCTTTGGTGAGAGGAAGGAGGCCATCAGGCCTCCTCCAAACCAACCAACTCCAGCAGCCTCTGGCTCTTAAATAACAACCATCATCATCCAGAAATTTAAGGACTCAGCCCTGGTCAAGGTGGCAAAGGGTCTGTTTGTCTCCCCCCATTAGACAGGGCTCTTGTCTTGCTACGCTAATAATAAAGGGGTGACTGGGAAGGGGTGGGAGGGACATGGTGGGGGCGGAGACTCCAGTCCCATTCTCCAGGACTTGCTAACAAGGGCCTGCTTTTATTTATTTTTATATTTATCCCTATGATTTTTTTTTAAATCTCATAATTTCCTTTTCATAAATTTTATACTTTTCATAAAATTTTTCTACATTTTATCCACAATGTTTTTTGCCACAACTTTTCCACATTTTTTATCCCATAACTTTTATTAGTTTGTGTTCTTTTAATGAACACACTTGCATAGCGATATTACAATTTTGTAAAAATAAAAACACTTTATCTCATGCCAAGTGTGCCCAGCATTTGCAGAGTCTCCATACCTTTAATACTATAGTTGTCAAGACACACAAAATTTTAAGGCAAAAACAGCACTTTGCAGCAATTCAATAATTTATTACATTACAGGAGCATCACAGCAGCAGTCAATAATGCCGTTTTAGACAAAAGGCTCAGGATTTCCATCTTACATTCTGTTCTCAAGAGTTCATACATTGGTGAAAGTCATTCTTAGGAAACTTGGCAACTAAAGCGTTGGACTGGAATTAGCCTTTCTTTCTCTACTTTTTCTTCCCTTGGTTTCTTTCAAACTGTGACATTCATATTTTAAAATGTCTCAGTAATTTCAAAACATTAAGATAGCAGTTACATGTTTTAAAAGTTATCTTGAAAATGACTCTTAAGATAAAGTTTTGGAGAAGCTATATTATGGATAGGATAGGACTGATTTATATTTTCAAATTTTCTTAAAATCAGCTTTGGTTTCAGAACTGATTTTTATTCATTTCTAGAAAATCTATCAGGTTTAATTAAATCCTTTAAAAATGATTATCATATATTATACTCTTTAAATAGGTATTTTGATTCTTCCTACAGAAATTCAAATTTATTCAGTTGAACCCACATTTGAAAATTCTATGTATTTTTGTAATGATCTCTGAACAGAGAGACGCTGCCATTGAGCAGGCCTCTGGTACAGCAAACATGGTACATTCAGGAGCTGTGAATATAGCTCTAGGTGAGCCCCGAATCAGTTGATGGTAGATTATGCTAAATAGTGAGATGTTATTGGAGGTGTGGATGAGGAAGTTTGTTGTTGTAATCCTTCTTTGCACCTTATTTTAAAGAATAAATGAAACATTTTTCTGGTTGCCTTTTAAAAATTTTAAATGGAGGGGAAGAATAGGGGCAGGGCATTATTAGGTTACTTCTCATGCATCAGCGTTATAAATTCAACACATAGACTGACAACCTAAATTAATGGTGGAACACAGTTCTTTTCCATTTTTTTTTTTTGTATCTGTTTAATGAAAATAAGAAGGTACAACCCAAGTTTTGTACTCTGACTAGAGGGATTCCACTTCAAGGTCTGAAAGTAGGACTTTTACCTTAAAAACAATGACAAACAAAAACTATCACACAGGATGGCTAAGAAGATGCTTAAACAGTTTTGTGTGGATCTTGTTGGTGCTGAACTATGGCATGAGCCTTATAGATTGTAAAATAGAGATAGTCGGAGCTAATGTAAAAAATTAAATTTTTAAACTTTATTTGTTGTTAAATTCTGTGAAGTTTCAGTTATCTAAAATAAACATACACAAATATGAAAATAAAATAAAATTCTATGTTTTTGATGAATGCTAACCTTCTGATGTTGCCTTCTAAGCAAATTGAAAGCTGCCTTCTACTGAATGAGGAAGAGAACAAATACTTGGCTGAATGAAGTACTGCAAAAGACTTGCATGCACTTTGAAGAAAGACTTAAGTCACTGTCATATGATTTCCATTCTTTTTAGTTTTTTCTTTAATAGATGACAAAATACTTACACAGAGTGATATTTCAGTTACTATAGTAAATGTATTTTCCAGTCTGACATTCAGCTTAAATATGCCTGTATGTGATTTACTCCAGAGGTACTTGATGAACACATTATTGTCGGATTGGGTACAGATGCAAAACACTATCTGAAGGTCATCCCTAGTCATTTCTGTTTCTTAGGGTAAAAGTGAAGTGATTTGAACTATCAAAACCCCTTTGAAATAATTTATCAATGTATCAGATAAACGCAGTTTCAGAATGATTAAAAGAAACTGTTTGACCAAATAATGTGGCTGATTAACAGTGGTAGGATTTCTAGCCCGGGGATTTAAAATGGACTTAAAGTTCTGTTCTGTGTTTTATTCCTGAACTTGCCGCTTTTGCGTTCTTTGAGTTCAGTTTAATGACAGTTACTTTAAGTCCATTTTCAGAGGTATGATTTCTAGCCTGAGGGCTGAAAATGGACTTAGAGTAACTGTCTTTAAACTGAACTCAAAGAATGCAAAAGTGGCAAGTTCAGGAATAAAACACAGAACAGAACTTTAAGTCCATTTTAAACACCCGGGCTAGAAATTGTACCACTGTTAGTCTGCCGCATTATTTGGTCTAACAGTTTTCCTTGATCATTCTGAAACTGCGTTTATCTGATACAATGATAAATTCCTACAATTTGGAAGAGTTAGTTCAAGTCACCAGGACCCAATATTTGCACTCTTTTAGGGAATGCAGGAAAATGTGTTATTCCATCTGTAAAATCATATTAATGATCTCCTATTAATGTCATATTTATGAAAGTATCATGAGGATGCCAAATGCTAAACATGGAGATGGTCAGTAACTAGGAATCTCCACTTCAGGGAGCACTCCATCCTAACAATGGGACGTATTTTGGCACACAGACATTAGAACTTCATGAAGCTTCAACTGTTGATTCTGTCCCAAGCATCATAAAGTTATGATTTAGGCAATGTCTGACTGAAAGAATTCATTCATAATGTAGAGGCACATTAACAGAAATCTTGCACAAAATATGCCTTTAACTGAAACCGAAAGGTATAAAAACATATTTCACTCTTGGTAAAGAACTTGGTGAGGAAATAAAACTCTGTGATTGTACAGACACTTTTCCTGATAATACGTTGACATTCACAAACAGTAGATGGCACTGCAGTCTATAAACATTTTAAGTTGCATAAACTTCTTGATTTTCAAATATAGTACAATTCTCCCTACTGAAACTCCTTTTTGTTTCAGCCAAGTACTCTCACATATATTAGTTTATAATCATGTCTGTGATTATTATATTTTGTTTGTGATTATTGTTTAAAGTCATTTTTATTGAAGAAAACGAAGACAATTCGTATGTCAGAGTAACCAAGGTGGTTGAAGAATAGGCATTAGCCAGAGAAGTATGGATGGTCAAATCAATCCAGCCTCAAAGAAGCTCCATGAACACAGAGGAATGCCAGGTGTCACATGGCTTTCCTGCACTCTAGTGCATTATTGACTACAACCTGTATGCCTGTTCCAGGGACATATACACTTTTTAAAATTTTTATTAAAAATTTTATTTCTTTTTCTGGATATTTAAACTCTTAAAGGATTTCTTTTTTGTTGTTGGAGATGTTTTATAAAAACGGACATTTTATGAGCAACTTGCTATGTGAACTGTAATAAATAGCAATTTTTAAAACTGTGAAATGATACAAAAGGATAATCTCATCTGTGGTCTCTTTCTGTGTGCAAGGCACTATACCAAGTGTCCTAAAACATTAACTGTTCAGTCATCAATATTCAGTGCCTATCCACTCTATGATACAAAGTTCCATTCATATATATATATATACATATATATATATATATTACACTTTATCTTAAAGGATTTCTTATGATCTTTACTAATACATTAAGAAGAATGCCAACCAGTGCTCTTTTGTGTACTGAGACTTAGAGTCATGTCATTAAAACAGGTAGCATAAACTCTGACTTTACAATGTATTATAAATATAAATGCTCTAAGCTAGGAAAGGTTTTTCACATCTACAGTCAAAGATGGGAACCTTTTATTCCTCAGAAATCATCCTTTTTTAGGTCATAAAAAAAGAGTTCAGCTGCCGCAGCTCATGATGCAGTATCTTCATGAGCCCAGAGCACAGAGGAACCCTAAAAGAACTGCCAGGCACAGTGCTCGTTCTTGGCATGGGAATGAATGAAATACTCTATTCTCCACATACCTGCCAGAGCGGGCCACTTTCCTCTTCTGTGAGATTTTAAAAGCTCCCAAAAATGTTATTACTCCATTCGCAATGCACAGAAAATGGAAGAAAGGCTGTTTCCAGTTCTCAGCTTTTCAACAACTCTAGATGTCAGTACTCATAGTGGCACCTTACAAGGTAATAAACGGTGTGCACGTGAGGGCAAAGCACATATTGAGCTAATTAAGAGCTCACTGTGAGCAGGATTCCATCAAATATCATAGCAGAACACAAGCAAATTGTATCGGAATTCCATAAAGAATATACATGCTGCAATAACATTAAAAACCATGGCAGCCTATTCCAAACTAGCGAGAATGGTTTTGTGCCAATAGTGGGTCTTTGTGTGTTTGAACTCCCACCACATAAGGGCAAACTCGATAGGCATGCTAATGACCTACGATCATCAAATTAAAAACGAAAAACGCTAAAGGATGCCAGAGTGAACATCAGTGAAAGCCACACGAAGACCCACTCTCCTTTAACTTTTTACAAATAAACTATAAATTAGAAACACAAATCATCATGAGTGGCTCTAACATTCAAATAAAGTTAACATGTAGAAGACTAATCCTATAACTTTGTTCCTTTGTAAATTTCTTGGCCAGTTCTTAGCTGATGGTGATGTTCACCTCCTCCTTCGCAGCAGCCCGGTAAAAGCATGGCATAGAGGGACTGCTGCCCAAGGGTCAGTGTTGCTGGCCATCCCGCAGCTCACACAGCTGTGAGCCATCTGCTGTGCAGTGGGGTGTGGTGTACCCTCCCTCCTGCAGGCTCCAGGCTGTAGCTGTCATCGTCCGGGCTCATCTCATAAAATTCTTTGGAGAGAGGGAGGTGGGGATCTGAGTACAGTGCCAGCCTCCCCTGCTCCTGCCTGCCCACCCCGCCTGAGGGCTCTACTCACCATCCTTGTCAGCAGCACCAAGCTCCTGGCGGGCTGGGGCCCCTGGAGTGGACTCATTAGCAGGGTGCTGGACCTTGTGGTTGATCATAAGCTGCATCACTGGGCCCTGCAGCTCCAGCAGCTTCACCTGGAGATAGGGGTGCTCAGCTGCCACACCGGTGCCGGCACCCACGCTCACGCCCAGCCCCTTCCCCCTCACCCCCGCAGAGATGTTGTACACCTTACCTTCATCCCCTCCTCGGCCTCGGACAGCATGCTAACATCATTCTTCTTCTGGTGCTGGGTCTTGGCCACTGCCCTCTGATGGTCATTTGGTTTGATGGACTTTCCTGTGGGAGGACAGGCTCAGAGGCTGGGGCCCCTCCCACCACCCTGCAGCTCCCCTGCCCTGCCCTGGCCTCCTGCTCACTTATCATGTCTCTCTCTCCATAGAGCTGGATGAGTCCTAGTTCTAGTTTTTCCACCCGCTCCTTCAGGTCCGCATTCTCCTTCACGACGGCCACGAAGTCATTCTGGAGCCGAAATAATGGGGTCACATCTCGGCAGCGGCCTACCCCACCCCACCCTTCGTGGTCCCTGCCAGGACTCACTCACCTGCAGCTTGTCGATGGCGCCCTGCAAGGCCTGCTGGGTCTCCCCATACCCACACTCGCTCCCAGTCCCTGTGGTTGCAGCCACTGCCCCTGGCTCCTTCAGGGCCGAGGCCACCAGGTGAGCCTGGTGCTGGCAGCACACCTGTTGTTTCTGGAGCTGCTCACAGAGCTGTGACTGCTCCTCCTGGGCACCTGCTCCAGCAGCATTCAGAAATGGCACCTGAAGGCAAGAGGGGAGCATTCTTGTAGGGACATACACAGGACAGACGGGGCAGGGAGGTGGAGCGCAGCCCCTTCCCTTGGGGCCTCAGAGAGTGCACCTGTCGGTCACGATGGTGTCTGACCACTGTCTCCCAGAAGGGATGAGTGTCCAGAGGAATCAGAAGGCGGAGAAACCAAGAGCATAAGGGGGTCTGGGAGGGACCACAGAAGAAGGTGGCCTGCCCAGGCGCCTGGCCCTTGGCTCCAGCCTAAGAGACTGCCTCCCTTGCCTAGAACCCCATGCCTCCTTCCCCAGCCTCAAATCTCACGTCCTTCCTTCCACCATTTAAACTGTAGGCCACAGACTAGTGGAAAAGCAGAGGGCGCTGACCACCATCTGCCAAGTGTGCTACATGCCTAATGCTTTCCACGCATCATCTCATTTAATCCTCAGCACCCACGCAAGGAAAATGCTAACTTACTTTGGAAGTTAAAGAAACAGAGACTGAGAGATGCAAAGTAGTTGAATGGTGACCAGTGGAATCAAGGCCGGAATCCAATTTGGATCTAAGGAGACTTTCGTTTTGTTTTGCTTTGATTTGATTTGTTCTGTTTTGAGACAGAGTGTCACTCTGTGGCCCAGGCTGGAGAGTCGTGGTGCAAACTCAGCTCACCGCAGCCTCCAGCTCCCGGGCTCAAGTGATGCTCATGCCTCAGCGCCCTGAGTATCTGGGGTTACTGGTGTGCACCACCATGCCCAGCTTTGTTGTGGTGGTGGTGGTTGTAATTTTAGTAGAGATGAGGTTTCGCCATGTTGGCCAGGCTGATTTCAAACTCCTGATCTTAAGTGATTCTCCTGCCTCAGCCTCCCAAAGTGCTCGGATTACAGGGGTGAGCCACCGCACCCAGCATAAAGAGCCTCTCATACCACTGTCTCTTGCCCTATGACTGGGGGGCTCCATGCCTCGAGCTGGGATGATGATGTCCAGACCTGGGAGGAGCCCAGGGCTACCCGCCTCTAAAAGTCAGAGGGCAGGAAGCAAGAAACGGTCACAGGACTGCCCTGGAGGGTGTGGGGTCACCTGGCCCCAGGGTGGAGCTGCCTGTGGCCTTGCACCTCCCCTCCCCAGAGGCCGGTGCCTGCCTCCCAGCCCTCCTGGATGGGGCAGGGGTTACCGTCTCTTGTTTGTCAAGCTTCTCCTGCAGCTCCTTTCCTACCTGCTCCAAATGCAGTGCGCTCCTGTTCTTGTTCTTCTGGACAGAGAGAAGCAATCAGCGGCCACCCACTGCAGCTGGAGACCCCAAAACCTGGTGACTGCCTCCCATGGCACCAGGAAGGGTGGAGGCAGGTTAGAAAAATTGTCTCCTTTCTCCCACAGCCATCAGAGCAGGGCTGTGGCTCACAGGTGCCTTTAGAAACCCCATTTCATATACTCCCCCATTTTGCAGGTGGGAAAACAAAGGCCCAGAGGGCTGGGGAGGAGGGCAGTCTCCCCAGATGGGCAACACATCAGCTCCTCTTCCTGCTCCTGGAGCCCCTCCCTCTCAAGAAGCCTCTCCTCCTGTTCTCTAAGCCTCACCTCCTGCTCCCGGAGCCTCATTTTCGCCTCCTGCAGTCTCTCCTGTTCCCGCAGCTCATCTCTCAGGTACTTGGTTTCAGTTTTTAGGTTTTTCTCCAAGTCAGAGTGCCCTGCTGGGTGCTTTGGGATTGGGGGTTCAGCTGAGAAAGGAAGCAGACAGTAAGGGCCTCTGGATTCTCAAAACAAAAAACAAACAAAAAAACCCACTCTTCTGGGTGCACAGCTCCTCTCAGGCTCCCCAAACCTGGCCTCACTGCTAATGATTCCTCTCACCCAAATGGTAGCCAGTCTTCCAAGCCACTTTCAGATAGAGAGCACTGTGGGTGGCTGACAAAAGGCACCCCTCCCTCTTTCTGATGGGGACACTGAGGCTCATGGAGATTACAAGACTTGCTGTCTCCTAGCACAGACCTCTTTCCCTCTGCCTCAAAGCCCTTCCAGCCACCCACCTCCCTGGGGCACTCTAAGCCACCCCCACAGCCCTCTGATGCCAGTCCTGCTCCCCGGTCATGCCAGCCCCATCTTACCCAGATGGTTTTGTAGGTGGGCAAGGCTCCCCTTCAGCTCCTTGATTTTAATTGCATCCTGCCTTTTCTCCATTTTGAATATTTCAATCTGCCCAAAGCACAGGGGGAAAGGGCCCTGGAGAGAGGGGCTGGTAGCTGGACAGGCTATCATCTCCCTCTCCGCCCCCAGCTCCACAAAGCCCAGTCCCGTGACCACCCCTGGCTGGACTATTGTTTTTACAGATGCCCAGGAAGATCCAGTGAGCTATCTAAGGTGGGTGCTGAAGGGTCAGCTCTCACTTCTCCTGCCATTTTCAGCAATTGCTGCTGCCACCGCGCCCTCTCTGTTTTGAGCTGTTGAGCGTATGCGTCTCTTTCCAGCTGAGCTTTCTTAAGACACTCTGTCACCTGCAAGTATGGACCCAGAAGTTAGGAAGGGCTGTCACTGGTCCTCACCTGCTCCTGGCCACCTGGGGTCATCTTCCTTCCACATCCCTCCCTCTGCAAAGTCTCACCTCTGCCACCTGTGCTTTTAGCAGTTCCCGCTCCTGTAGAAACTGCTGTAACTGCTGCTCAAGGACTGCTCCACAGCGGCTCGAGGGCTGGATGGTGGAGAGGGAGCAGCTTCAATCTGGAGAGCCTGGGCCATTCCACACAGTGCCCCTTAAAAGGGCTAGGGCTGGGCTTCATACACAACTTGGTCAGTAAAGATCAAGGCCCATGGTTTGGATTTTAAAATAACTCAGTAAAGTTGGAAGAGACAGGCAAAGAGATCAAATTTACAGCTGGCTAACAGAGGCCCAGAGAGATCAGATCATATTCTATTCTTATTCCTGTTATTACTACCGCTGTTGGAACCTTTATTGAGTGTGTCACCAGGTAGTGTGGTAACGATCCCACTTAACCTCACAACCACCATGTGAGGCAGTTGCTACCATTACCTCTATTGGGTAGATGAAAAACATGGAGTATTAGAGGTTAAGTGGTTGCCTAAGATTACTTAGGCAGAGCTGGGATTTGAACACCCAGGTCCATCTGATCCTCTAAGTCCATTTTTTTTCATGCTGGGTGTGGGGGCAAAGACAGGACGGGGGAAGTTAATCTTCTGCTCACTTTTTGAAAGGATGATACAATCACATAGTCCAAAACTCAGAAGGTACAGAAGGGAAGTATCTCCCAGCCACCTGTGCTCTCTCCTGAGTGTTTTACAAATCCTTGCAGACATGTTTTATGTATTTTATCACGGTACACACACACACACACACACACACACACACACACACACACATTTTCTCTCTTTACACAAATTGTAACATACTAGAGGTACTCTTCTGTACTGTTACAGTCCAAGTACCCAGTCCCCAACTAGGACTTGGCCAAGGCCACAGCCAGGAAAGGGCAAGGCCGGCATTTGGCCTCTGAGCTCTGCGTCCAGTGCTGGCTCCCCATAGTGCCCTTCAACTCACCCACAGCAGCCCCAAGGGGAAACTGGAGCCCAGGATTGGCAGCGTGGAATCAGGGGACCCCACTGGGCTCTTACCAATAAATTGACGGTGTTACTCAGTTCACTGGTTGTGACGGAGCTTGAGTCCCGGGCTATTTGTAGTTGGTGTGCGCTCTGAGGCACATGCAGAGAGGAGGAGTTGGGGGAGGATTGGGGTAGAGGTAGAGAGAACATTCATTAGGGTTGGGGTGTGTGGGGGCTGTATCGGCTGGCAGACGGGCACCCAGCCACCACTGTGGGAGGAGGGTGGAGGGCTGGCCTGCAGGGTCACTGTACCTCAGCTCAGAGCCTCTTACCTCCTGATCTTTCATGGTGGCACATGGCGCAGGGCCCACCTTGTGACCACCTGCTGCTGACTACAAGAGATGAAAGTGCACATGGAGATGTTCTGTCCCCTCAGTGTCCAAGCCCCTGACTTCCTTTCCTCCCCATCAGCTGGCGGCATTTCCTATTCTGTCTCTCTCGGATGCTTTGTCCCATAACGCGTTTGTGCCAGCTCCTCTCAAGGTTTTTATCTCCCACCATCCCACCCTGGGGCCCTTTCAGTGACTCTTAAAGGGACAGCCTGACAGCAAATGGCTGTTGTCATTGGGCTGGCTTCCCCTTGAGACTGGGGATGAGGAAAGCCAAACAGCAAGGACCATTTCCTGGGTGTCCTGGGTGTTTACAGCTGACCATGTACTAGGGATTAACAAAAAAACAACAGCAATAACGAATCTCATTTCACCCTCATAAATGGAAGTCAGACAATACCACCTCTATTTTACAGATGTGAAACGGGAGGCCCAAAAAGCTCCAGCAACTTGCCCTAATCATATCCCTAGCAGATGGAGAGGCAGGATTCAAACCCAGAAGTTCTTCCACAATCTTAACAATTCCCCTCTACTGCCCCTTGGGCCCCTTTTCCCCAGAAGCCTGGCCAGCCAAGACTCACATGGCATGGTGACTGGCAACCATCAGAAGTGCCTGTCTCAGGGCTACTGTTGTTTCTTTTCTTTCTCCGTCTCACTCGTGTTGGAACAGGAGGGCTGTTTCGTTGTTGAAATTCTGTTAACTGTGGGAAAAAAGAGCAGTAACACTCATGAGAACTGCAAACCCCTACAGTCACGACCTACATTACAGTTTTTACAAAATGCTGTTACACACCATATGATTTAATGTCATCAACAACTCTATAAGGTGTGGTCATAATCACTTAGTGACTGAGAGGGATTGATATCATGGCAAAATTTTAAAAAATTTAAAAAAAAAAGAAAAGAGAAAGAAAAAGCAATACTAGACCTTAAACTCATTCCTCTCACTCCAAGCTCTGGGGTTTTGCCATGAATCAGCAACTGCCAGAGACCAGAACCACAGGCAGAGGCAGGAAAGTCAACATGAAGTAGACAGGAACTGTACACCGTGTGGCTTAGAGTCGTACAGCCTCGCACATCTGTTAGTGTTAAGAAGAGCACCAGCACCTCTCACACTTTTATATCAATGTGTCCTCAAGGCAGAAGGCAGCCTTTCTGTTAAATCTGGGAATTCATCAGAAAGAGGACAACCCAAGTCTCATTTCAGAGAGAAGTCTGATATACCCTTAGAAATCGATGTGACTGTCATCCCTAAGTACATTAATGTTTTTGCTGTTTCAAGATACTCAAGGGGAACTGATGCTTCTGAAAGATGTCCCATGTTTATCCCATGGCATTCAAAGTAGCCTAAGTTGAGATGATATGAGGAAGATTCAAGCTGTCAGTTTCAATTTCCCAAGATCTGTTCCACAGAAGATGAGCAGATCTCACTCCAGAGGCCACTGACTGAAGGGCAGTGGTCCCAGAACCATGGAGAATTTGAAGATGAGGTGGAGAACTCAGAAAGAAACGTGAAAGTCTGTCTGGAGAGCAGAAGCCTGAGAGAAAACCAAACCAAACCCATTCTCCCATTGCCACCCAGAGACACTGTCAACGTTTTGAGCTCACGAGGGAAGTGTAGGCTTTTCACACTGTCAATGTCTATGTTAAGGGAGTGAGGCAGCCTGAAACCTCTTGCTCCTAGGTCCCTCTTGCTCCTAGGTCCCCCATTCCCCTTCCAGTTGGAAATTTGTGCTGGGACCAGAAGAGCCAGAAATGGGATGAAAATGCTTAGAGGACTGGGCCCTAAGATCGAAGGCTGGTCTTGTAGCAGTAATGACGGTTCCTAGGGAGACCATGACATCACTACATTCCACTCCTCCTGGGGGAGGGGGCCACATCAAGGAGATGCCTGAGTCACTGCTCCATGATGTGGGAGGGGGGTGCAGGGCTGGGACCCAGGTCCTTGGAGACGCCAGCCCAAAGAGCACAAGGAGGTCGCAATGGGGAAGCAGAAGGGGAGGGCAGAGTCTGCAGCAGGGATTCCCAGGAGTCACCAGCCCAAAGTCACCCAGAAATGACCGATGAGGGTGGGGACTGGGAGACCCAGGTCCTTAGAGACATGAGCCCACAGAGCCCAGGGAGGTCAGGTTTGGGGCAGGAAAAGGTGAGGCCCAAGTAGGGAGCAGGGAGCCTCAGGGTTTACACATCCAAAGTCACCCTGGGGTGATTGGCAAGGGCAGGGGCTGGGCACCTTGCTGAAGGGGTGGGGCTGACTGACAAGACTTTGGTAGGGGGAGCCCAGAGGCACCAGAGTTGGGGGCCCACACAATCTGGTGTGTCTCAAAAGTGTTATGGACTCTGGCAGCGGTCTTCCTGTCGGAGGGAATCTGTGTGCATGTTACCTTTTTCCTAGCCGAGGCTAATTTCATCTTGTGAATTTCTTCTGACATCGCCATGGTGGGTGGGGGAGGGAGGAGGGGTTGGGAAGGGAGGTGGGGTTGGGGCCACATCAGCACAATTCAAGGGAGCACAGGTAAGCAGCTCCACTCTCCTACCAGGCAGCTGTGTTGACTGAGCCAGAGGAGGCGTAACCAGGGCCACACTAGAATGTAGAATAGGGGCGTGGCCTTCATGCTCCAATCCCATTGGTCAATGAAAAAGATGAAAGGGAAAGGAGGCGTGGCCAGGCAGCAGCAGCTCCGGAGGGACCTGTGGCATCCCAAGGAAAGCTGCCCCTGCAACTCCTGTCCCCGCCCACTCTGAGAGGGGAGGGGCCACCCACTCCAGGAGAGAGGGGGCTCCGGCTTTTGCTTTTCAATCTTTAAATGTACCAAAGCATGCAGCCCTATGTTTGAAGAGGTGACCTTATGGGGAGATGACAGTGTGAGAAACAATCCTGCCTAGGCCGAGGTTCCCTAGGGCCCAGGAGAGCACTGGCCGAGGTTCCCTAGAGCCCAGGGTTCCCTAGGGCCAGGAGAGCACTGGAGCTCACCCTGACACCCATTGGAAACCTGAAATCCACATCTGCAGGAGATCAGGAAAGGGGTTCAGCCTCCAATGCACCTGCAGCCAGGTGAGACAGTCACAGGTGGGCACCAAGCATATCTCCTGCCTGACCTTCCTCTCCTGCCTCCCCCAAGCAGAGGATAATTGACAGCTGCCCATCAGCCCATTGCCTAGATTGAAGCCACTGAATCTGGATCCCAACAGGCCCAAGGCAGTCCTGTCTCTGGTGAGGACCTGGCAGACAGATGTGATGTTCCCAAGTGGCTCTATTAACCTTATTGTGGATAATCAAGGAAATGGGCAAGACCATCATGCTCAGCCAAGAACCTGGCAG